ATGAAGTATGGAAACGAAAAAGCGATGAAGACGAGCTTTCTCTCCTGCACATCCACATTGCCTACCGTTCCTACCAAGGCCGTCTTCAGAACCTCTCACGAATGATTTCTCTTCATCCTGAAGTTGTTTCTCCTTTGCGAAGCAATCAGCACATTAGACATTGTCCTGAGTTGGTAAAAGCATTTTGAAATTCCAGATACATTTGTTGTGGAGACTTCTTACCCCAACCTACAAACTTGTTCTGGTTTCATGTCAAGTAAATATATGTTCAGAGCCCCAAAACTGCAAAAAAATTAAGCAAAAATACCAAATCACAGAGGCCTTTTTTACTCTATAGCACAGTATTGATCACTGTCTAATTTTGTCATCTTTCAGTAGCGTTACTGTTTGGATATTTGACATTCATACGTTTTGCTGTCCTGAAGGTCTTGGATGTCTATGCAGCTAAGGCGTGTGTCGAATGCCTCGACTCTCCTAATCTGGACACAGATAGCCTCTGCCAGAGGTGGCTGAGGCAGGTGAAGAGGCTGCAAGCCTCTTTGGAGTTGATTTGCTCCACACACAACACCACACAATATGGAGAGCGATGCAAGGAAAGGCTCCGCGACATCAGGTAAGATGCTGATGCACAAGACCGTACAATGCTCCTCCAAAACCAATAAACACAAATTTAATACTGGATGGTAAGTCCACTCATAAACGGGTTTAGTAAATTGGGATCTCTGTGTTGCTCAGAGGAGTGAGTTTTGTCTTTCTATATTTTAGACTTTTGATTTGCAGTTATTAGAATAACATTTTTTTCTTACAGCTAGAACAGATGATTGATTGTTTTGTCCCTCTGATGGGGACTATCATAATGCACTAAATGCTTGTTTAGGCCAATACACTGTAGCTTGCTTACAGTTAGTTTAAAACTTAGCTGCATGACTAACAAAACTTCCACAGTCTTCTCATATTACCCTGGAGTTGGCTTGCTACTTGTTTCATTTAGGATTAAAAA